TATGATCTTCCACGAATGTACAGAAATAAGATGTTGCCGAGAGTTGAAGGCATCTTCCCATGTTTGATTGGCACTACAGAGATCAGTAACCGTGCGCCAGGGCACGAAGAGCGTGAGGAGAGCTCGACTGTATCGTTCTCGAGTGTCATCACGATCTCGTCGAGGAATTTGTGGACCGTAAAGAATAGGTACATGAGGTTCACTACATTTCATCATCAGATGTGTTGATGCCTGTGGATGTTGTTTTTGAAAAGGAAAGCGTTCATTGGGTGGTCGACCTTTTTGATTAGCTTTTTCTTCGATTGTTTCTGTAGTCTTAGATAAATATTTCAGATCTGTTGTATTCATTTTTTTCTTGTACAGTGTGCTGACAAAATCGTATAAGCATATGTTGTTGAGAGTGGCCGAGCGGTATTGATAATCAATTCGTGTGTTAACAAGTACATATTTTTTGTTATCTTCAACAGATTGAATTTGAAATTGTTCTTCATTATTATTTTCATCGTCGATAATTTCATCATCAAATATATCATCGTCGATTACATCTACATGTGAAAGACAATAAGTTAGTTTTAATTTAATATATCTTATGATCACTCTTGATATAACAAATACTTGTGAAACATGAGATCAAATACCTGTATACTCACCATGGGTTGCAAGTTCCAACTTTTGTTGCGCACGTATTTCGTTTAATTCGGCTTGCAAAAATCGTTCAGTTTGAATTAGATAGAGACCTTGAAATTTGTGCGTTGTGTAATGATCATCCCAATTCATAAGATAAGATGCAACTTGAACACCAGATAGTTCTTGTTGAGAAGCGAGTGTGTTGTAACAACGTAAAACCAGTTTACGCGACTTCTCAATTGCACTTTCCTTGCTTGTGTGTTGCAATGAATTTTGGAACGATGTTATGCTTTTTTGTACAAGAGCAAATGTATCATGAAAAGAGAGACTCATCTTTGTGACATAATCGGTAATATAATAAACAAGAGCCTTTGCATCACTACCACTCCAAATAAATTTAATATCCATGTTGGATCGACAGGCTGCGATGAGGTATTCATTAAAATTGTTAATCCATGGATCCGATCGTCGCATAGAAATATGGCCAGTATCCAGATCAATCGTCGAAACTGGTTCTAATTTGCGTGGCATACGCAGTCGACAAATTTTCTTGTCACCTTGTTTAGGATTAGAATACTTGTAACATGTGTCACTATGCTTGTGCTTGTTGTCTGCTTCCACAAGTTGTACCACATCTGCACGAAAACGTGCTGCAAAATTTGGCGATGATGGATTTGGAGTAGGTAAGCAAGCTGGATTTATGTTTGATTGATTGTGTAAAACATTCATAACTAAAATATGATCTACACTTTATCTTTTTTATTACTTCTATTTCTTACTAGATGTTGGTCGATCATGTGTTGGTGTCTGTAAAGATTTATTCCATAATGGAGAAGCATAAGGAGTTGACGGAGAAAGTTGTTCCTTGATTGGTGTCGACCAAACAGGAGATTTATTTATATTTTCGCCTAAACCTGTTAAATCCATAGTACGTAAAGCTGCATAGATATTATCTTGTGATAATCGTGGTGGAGTATTCAATGTTCTTGTCATTACAATATAAAATTAGAAATCAATATTCGAATAAGAGCAAAAATTTCCATACCGTCTAAATTCTCAAAGACATGTTTATCTTTGAATTCATCCAAATCTTCTTTGATAATATCTTCTAAATATGCTTTTAACTTTTCACGAAAATCAGCATTTTGAATCTTTTGTTTCATATCAGCTGGTTTCATATCATGATCAAGCCAAATAAGAAGATGCAAATGAAGCGAACCTCGTCCTTGACTTTCAACAGTACCAAAATAAGCTTTTATTGGTCCAAGAACACCACCACTAATCATAGTATTTAAGATATTTGAAATTAATAAATGAAAAAATTTTGCGGTAGCAACAGGACGAGAAGCTATAATTTCTGCTCTTTTGTAAGTAGTCATCAGTTGCACTATTTGAATATTATCTAAATCCAACTTGACTCCCGCAAAATATAATGCTACGGGACTGTGAATATCAGCTGGATTTAAAGTTAAAAAAATGCTTGGTAACCCTTGATTATAGATTAATGCATGAATACGTGTACGCAATGCCGTACGTGAATATGCTGAACCCATAACGCGACCACCGATGGTTTTAATATGATGCAATAATTTATTTAATGCACTGTTGGATTCCGAACTGTATGTTTTTTTGGAAATGTTATCGAGAGCCATTTCAATATCTTTGCTTTTCAAGGATTGAATTTCATCAGCAGATGCTCGAAAGTATGGTTTTGTTGCGATCAGCTGAGCATGAAAACAAGCATCACGTCGTTGTAATAGGTTGAAGACGACAAATATAAAACTGTGGTTTGTTTCAAAACGTCGATCATTGTAGGATAACAGATAACGTATGTGTTCTCGTAAATTTACTTTAACTGGACGAGATTGATCTTCAGGTGCTCCACGTCCATAACAGAATAAGGTTGGATACAGACCTACGAGTAGTTTTGGATTAAAATATTCGTTAACAGGCTTCGAAGAATGAGGAATCAAATAAACATTTTCGGTGTCCATCTGCTCCTTTGTTCCGTCATTTTTAATTTTGTGCAAAAGATAATTAGTAATTTCATCTGAAGACACTGATGATCCATTGACATCGAGAACACCACTAAAAAGAAAAGATTTGTGAAACAACTAATTTATTAGCTGCTCTCACCTGTTAGTAATAGGAATACTATCTGTACTAGTACGTTCTATTGGGTCAGATAAAGGATCAGGAATATATCCAATTCTTTCAGATTGAATTTCTTCATCACCTATCTTCTGTTCCATCGTTGACATAATACATTCTGGTACATCATCTTCAGGTAATTGAGCAATATTCTTCAGATTTATATCAACATTTTGATAAAGTA